CAGGTCTTCCCATTTTCCAAAAGAAGCTGAAATCTGAGTTTTCATGCCAAGTCCCCAGACGTTTAAATTGGCAACTAAGGCAGGGTTCTGAAAACATTGCACAGTCCAAACAAAACACATCTGTAGGCCAGATGTGGGTGCCCGTGCGAGACCTGTGGGTTAGAAACATTTCCTCTTACTTAAGGATTCATTATGCGCCTCTTCCGGGCCTTCTGCAGCTGAGTGGGCTGCTCTTATCACAGGTCTTCTAACTGACTGAGCTGGCCTAGGTCTCCGCTGAACCACAGGAGCCCTGAAGGAATACACGCAGATTTCATGGCCTTGTACCAGGTAGATGTCAGTGTGCATTGAGTGAATAAGCAGGTGAGTGAACAAACTGTGCTCCCGACAGACCCCTGCTCTAAAGACCTGGACAGGTGGCTCAGGTGAGAGGCGAGCTAGTTACCTGGGTGGAAGGCCCCCTTTCTAGCCCCAGCTCAAGCCTCCCAGTGGCCCACTGAGTTGTGATTTGTAGACCAGGTGGCCTCGCCCACGTTATGAATTATGCCCACTAGATGTCGCCCTTTGCTCAAGGTAACAAGAGCTGTGATAGGGCGGTCAGCATGAGTTTTGCTGCCCAGAAGCATACCTAAGTGATGCTATGAAGGACCTCACCTCAGGCCACATGGCCTTCAGGTGACTGTCCTCATGAGGAGACAGCACAGCCATGGAGTCACAGAAAGGTGCTGGGGCCAGACCTTGACTTACTTTGCTTTACAGTAGCTGTGACCCACGGGAATGCCCTCTGCCTGCGCTGAGTGACAGCCTTGGGGTTTTAGCCTCTAACCCAGCGGGCACTCAAAGTCCTGCTGTCTCCCTTTCCCTGCACTTGAGGCTGGAAGAAACATGCTTCCTGCCGAGGGCCCCGGGACCTGGGGTTGCACGGTGAGAGGCAGAGTTCTTGCCAGTGCAGCAGAGGGAGATTCTCCACCAAGGGCCACAGCCCACGGAAACCCTGTGTAGTATGAGCTATGCCTGGCCCACGGCCTCGGGAGGGTCAGGTAAGATGAGGGAAAGCACTTCATGTATTTTATTGTGCATATTTTCTGTCCTTTATTATCAACTGCACTTGAACCCTGCACATCCTAACTCCATCAAGGCAGCTAGGGGTGCCTGCCACCTGGTTCTGCCAGGTAAACCCAGGACTAGGGTCTTGTGACCTCGGAAGCTTCTTTGTCGGATAAAATGGAACTGAGGTTTCTACCAGACTTTGGTAATTTCCAGTGAACGATGAAAGGTCCAAATGGTAAGAGTGCTCTGTCTCATGACAGCTGAGCGTTTTCACCTTTTTGGGGATTATTTAGTGTGGGTTTTTCTCATCACCTTTTAAAAGTAGCTGACAAGAGGTTAACAGAGCAGAGTTTGCAGCCAGGCTGGGTTGATTTCTGACTTACTGTTTACTTACCTGCTCTGTGCCTTGACTTCCTCATCTGTGAAGTAGGGTGACGGGGTGGGGGCGGGGTTGGTGGTGCCTCGTGGGGCTGGGAAGGGCATACACACTGGTGGAGAGGGCACAGGACAGGACTGTGCCCAGCACCAGTAGGCACTCAGGATGCTGGCCAGTCCAGGTGCCAGTCTCATTTCCTCCTTTGATTTGCTGTGCAGTCACCACGTCTTCTCTGTAGCTGTCCTTGTCACCCGGACGATATGGCACAAGTTTTCTAGTTCTATGAATGCTTCCCTTGTTTTAGTGTTCAGGAAGAGCACAATCATTACACAGTGCCTTTCCCTCAAAAACAAACCACACCGACCGAGGCGTTGCCTCTAACCGTCCCCCCTGCCCTCCTGCAAGTACTGTTTGTGAGTTCAAAGCCCTCACCAGCTCTCAGCAAGTCTTAGCATATTAATCAGGAAGACCTCACTGTGATTTATGTTGTGCACCCAGCTCTTCCCCTCTCCGCTCTTCAGTTTTTTAAAAAAAGTTATACTGATTTTTTTTTCATTGTTTTTAAACCTTTTGAAATTGTGGAATAAAGCCACCAGAAAGAATGCCGGGTCTTTTATACCCTTGCACCATTTAAGCCTGCCACTTCTGTGCCCAGCCCTGGGGAGGGCATCCCTGAGAGCCAGCTCACGGATGCCCAGCCCTCTGACAAGTGGACGCACCCCTGGGGTGTCCTTTGGGGTTCCTGGCTTTCGCTGGTCCACCTGCAGACTGCTAATTTGGATAGTGCCTCCCACCCCTAAGCACTCTGGGAAATTATGTTGATATTGCACTTTAGAGAACTCGTGCCAGGAACAGACTGTGTTTGCCGTTTCCTTTTCCCCAGGGCTAAGGTTTGTGGTTGTCTGTTCCTATGACGTTGTCCTTTTGCTGAGAAACCGGGCCATCAGACTCTTCCCAGAACCAGTGGAACGAGCGGATGAAGGAAGAAGGCTGGAAGCTCTTTCCTTTCTTTCTTCTGCATTTGTACAAGGTGGAGTCTGCAAGACCCAGGTCTCTGGAGAAAGAAGTGTCCAGTGGACCAGGTGCACCAGGACGCCTTTGTTTAGCTGGCTCTGCGTGGCCAGTGAACACCTTGTTTCTGCCTCGTAGGCTTGCGTGTGACGTTTAACAGCAGATGGAGCGCTACAATCAGATTAGAGGGGCGGCCGTTCCTCAGCTTCTTCCCTGCAGGAGGTCAGCGTGGCCTTGGGTCATTCTATAAGGATAGGTCCCGAAGCCATGGTGCCTTCCTTTGACTTGGTCCTTTGCAGGTGCATGGGTCAGATGGCCCTACAGCCTCACCAGGAAGTACTAAGGAATTCAGCACTGTGCTTGTTAATAGATTCTAACAGGGAACTAGAAGGATTATGGAGGTTTATTGGTGAGTCATCAGCATCAAAAAGACACCCAATTTAGGAAACAACCTAAATATTGCACATACTGTAACCTTCTCGTATGAAATACAGGCGGGCACACCTTCCTGTGTTTAGATTCAGATTCTGTTCAAGCCAATGCACTCCTGGCAGTATTGATGCCTACTGTGTGTTTTGTATTTTAGTCACTGCTGAGATGTTTTGGACTGGTAACAAATGCAGGGCTCCCTTCCAGGGTTCTGAGGGACAAATCCCAGCCCCTTAGGGAACTGCTGGGTTTCAATGACATGAAGAACAGGAGCTGAGAAACACGGTTTCCATCCAAGCTCCTGACCCTCCTCATGCCTCCTCCACACCAACTCGTGTGCCATCCTACTGTTTCCTCATCCCTCCTGGTCTGTGTCCAGGTGAATAGTGAACACTTGGTTTTATTTCCTTATACATTTGTTTGTTTTTGAGACAAGATCTCTATGTAGTTCAGATTAGCCTCAAATTCCTTATGTTGATTGCTTGAACTCATGGTGATCCTCCTGCCTCAGCCTCCCAAGTTCTGGGATTTACAAGCGTATACCACCACACCTGACAGACTTAGCTTTATTTTATAATCACATCTCTACTACGATGCATTTCAACACAGATGGACCAATAAGGAAGGTAGATGGTCAAATGAAGGACTCAAAGGATGGCGTCTCCAGTACAGGGACCTTGTAGACATGGGATTACTAAGTGAGCATCTATATGTCTAGACATTCTTGACTATTTATGGTGAAGAGAAGTTTGGTTTGCCTTTGTGAATGGTGGACCTCAAAAATGGGCTAAACTACCAAAAATGCACATGAGATGCTACAGAAGGAATCGACTAAATTGTGAGATGGATCAGCCTTACTCCTCCAAAGGTGTCAGGGGACAAAAAAGCAATGGTTGGTGCTTTAAACAGCTGCGGAAGAGTCCTGGCAGAGTCCTGGCAGGGACAGTGGCCTGGTGGGTGTGGAACCACAGGGTTCTCCGGAGTTTGTGCCTACAGGACCCAAATAGTCCTCACTTAAAACCACAGGCCCCAGTGTTGTTGGACATGCTGTCCACTTGCGAAAGACACTGTGTTTAGAATTCACTGCTCCAAGCATCATTTTCTCCTTCTTAAGATGACTTTTTTTCCCTCTTCTGAAACTGAGACAAATGGATCTGATTAACTTCTTTTCTCTGGTTGCTAGGAGGCTCTGTCCCTAAAGTCAGACTTCTTTTTATTATTATTAAGCTTATTGGTACAAATTAGATGTATATAGTGATCACATTCATCATAGGGAATTTGTACCTGTACACCATATATCTTGGACTCTCCGCCCATTCTCCTCCCCTCTCTAACCCCCCTTCCCTCCTTATTTAGAGGCTGTGTTTTCATTTTATCCTTTCTTTCTCATTGTTTTCAAGTTTTAAACCTATGAGACAGAATATTCCTAGTGTAGTCTTTGCATGGGTTTTCTTGACTCTGCTGGTTTCCCAGTTCCTCTTTGCACAGTTCATGCAGTTACGCAGACCTTCCCCAGCCCGCATATCTTTGTTTTATTACTATTCCGTCTTATGCCCTTGTGTGGTAAGTTCCTCACATTGTTGGTAGAATGTAAATGCTTGCAGGAAGTCAATGAGTTGATTGACTAATAATTAGTTGATTGAATTCAGAGAGGTCCTTTGCTTCTGGTGACATTTATGAGAATTGGTGACTGCATCCTTGCCCCCATCAGTCCACGATAGACAGCCGCCGTGTGGCTGATTTAGATCTGGTCCTTAGCCTCTGCAGCTGCCCTGTCCAAAAGCGACTTATAAAGCAGCGCACTTCAGCATAACCGTGATGTAACTTAACCTTTCAGGGCTTCCAGATTGAGTGACTCCTCAGAGAGGAAACCAGCCTTCATTAAGGAAGTGAATCAGGTTCTGCTCTAGGACAACAGAACATGGGAAACATTCATTTCCAGCACCTGCCTGGGGCCCCTGGCTGGTGCCCCTTCTTTCTGCCCCACCCAGGGGCACCTTTTCTGGGGGAGCAATGGAGGATTCTTTAACCTGGGGGAGGTGGAGCAAACTGAGAAAGGATCACACCTCTTCCTCCTGACCGACTCTCCTCCCCTCCTGGCTGCACACCCACCTAAAGGCTGCATTCCTGGGCTCTGCCAGGCGTGACCGTGTCTAGGGCAGGACTGCAAAGCTTCACCCAATGTCTGCGCAGTCAGCTGCCTGCGACAGGGTCTTCCGCGTTCCCTGGAGCAGTTCCTCTCCTGAGATCTTGGTCATGGCTCCTTCCTCTCCCTAACCCTCAAGAGAGAAGAGTTGGAGAAAAAGACTCCCTTCCTTCTCAGAGAGGTGTGTTCTGGCCTGGTCTGTGTGTCAAGGCCGCAACCCGTGCCCAGGCGCGGTGACTCAGTGCTGCCCCAGTGCTGCATACATCTGTGTGCAAACAGAGTAAGCTGTGTTCCAGCCACCAGCACACCTTCGAGGGACACGATGCAGAGGGCTGCAGCACACTGCGAAGAGCCTAAAGGTAAGCCGTGACAACTGAGAGTGCAGGGTGCTGTCCCTGGGCTGCTTGTTAATTCCCCAGGTGCTGAATTCTGATTCAGGATCTCATTTCCTAAAGAAGGTTACCCAGAGGAAAAGTGGAGAGCAGAAGCGACAGTGTGGGGACTCTGCTGGGTCTCAAACCTGGCTTTCTGACCTCAAAAGCCACATGCTCCTCTCAGAGAGGACCCAGACTGTGGGTCTCCTGTTACTGGGGAAGCGGGTAATGATGAGAACGCCTTATGCACATCTGCAAAAGGACCGGGCCCTGTGGTGATGCTAATTGTAACTTGTCACCTGCAGTAATCTGCAAACAGAGTCTTGTGAGAGCCTTGCTTTTTTCCTCCTCAGGGTGAGTTGTTTTAAGCTCTGCCTGCACTGCTGTAACCCAAAGGTTCCCAGCTGGTTTATCCCCTCCCCCGCCTCCAGAAAATCTACATGCTGACCCTCATGACCAGGTCCCCAGCTCCTTACTTCCTTTGCTGGGTGACAGCCTCAAAACATCATGGTTTTCTTTTCCCTTTTTCCTTCTTCCTAAAACAACCCACGTATGTAAGCTTGATGTACGATGTAACCACCTGCTCAGAGACTAGGTCGGGGAGGGGGGGCTGCTAGATGAACTACATAAAGAGAGGAGAGGTACACATGTCCCTGCCATGTCCTGGTCCCCACGGTGTCCTGATCCCCCAGCGTCCTGGTCCTCATGGTGTCTGGTCCCCCAGTGTCCTGATGAGTCCACCAAGCCAAAGACTGGGCATGGCAGAGACAGAAACCACACAGATAGATGAGAGCACAGCCTGAATATTCTTCTTCCCCACTCAAAGAAAAACCATCTCAGCCATCACTGAAATGAAGGGCCCATGGCCCAGACCTAAACGCCAAGGCTGTGGATAGCTCCTAGGAAGCCGTTCTTCAGAAAATGATGAATATGTCCGTAAAAAACTTAGAACAGTGACTTAAGTCGTCAAACCACAAGAGACGAAAACAGAGTCAGATGACCAAGGGGCATCAGAAGAATATGCTTCATTTTACTAACAACCAAATACAAGGAATTAAAGCAGTAAGACAGTATTTTTGCTTCTCAGTCAGTCAATAGTGAGATGAGGTTGGTGCCTAAGTGGAGAAGCAAGTATTTCTGTACCTTGTCAGCGTGCTGAAGTGATACAACCAGAGGACCACAGCCACGTCCATTGGAACTCAAAATATGGGAACTTGTGAGGGCCACTGCTTTCCCAACCCGCCTGCTTGGGATTAGGAGTCAGGAGAGCTGGAGCAGGGCTCAGCATTCACGGTGCCCACGCAGCGAGGTTGTGCACCCAGCCCGGAGCTCTGAAGTTGTCCACGCTGGGTGGATGTGACATTCTCAGTGTAGGTGGCCACCAGGCAGCTGGGTTTGCTTCTAGGAGAAACATTTGGGGGATTTGATTGAAAAGTTTGTTTTTCCTCTTTAGGAAATTGTGGTGAAAATACTTCTCATATGTCTAAGGCTACTTAAAAAGAATTAGGAGTTTGGGGTAGATTTGCAGTGATTAAGATTTATCAGCATAGCGTCAAACAAGAAGCTGTGTCCACTCACCCCACTAGGGACATGGTCACATCTCCACTGACTGAGGTAAAGCCCCAGAACCTGTCCTGTGGGTCTGTCTAGCAGGCCTGGCTGTGTCTCAACACTTAGGTCACTGATTAATTTGAAACACATATCCTTCCTTTTCCTGAACAGGGGGACGGAGGCATGGGAAAAGATAAAAAAATGATCCAGATATTGTATATATATAATTTTTCCCAAATAAATTATTATGTATAGCAAACGTACCAAGAAAAAAATGAGTCACCTTGCCCCTTTTTCACGCTTCTCTAGAAGATCTCTGCTGACAAACCGTAGCCTTTACCTTCTCGTGTCCTTGGATCTGAGAGCCGAGCGTGGACAGTGGCTGGGATGACAGAGTGTACCTGAAGCTTGGAGCGGCCAGGTGAGGGCTGCAGGAACAGGGTCACTCTTCTTGCTGCTGCTGACAAAGATGGAGACTTTTTCCTGTGGACATGTAGATAAAATGTCAAAAGACTTCAAGGAATTTTTTGTTGGTTTGTTTTTTGTCTCACTGTGCAGTTCAGGCTGGCCTTGAGCTCATTTTGTAACCCAGGCTGGTCTCGAACTCCCAGTGACTCCTCCTGCCTCAGCCTCCAGAGTGCTGGGATAGGGAAATATTCTTTCACATTCTATTAGAGCTGTCCAGTGTGGCTTAAGCGATGATATAAACATGCTGTAACCTGACACACAATGTGGCAGTCACCATGGCCCCTGTGACTTCCAAGAAGTAGAAACATGGTTAGTACAGTAGGGAAACTGACTGTGAAATTTAATTTAATTTTAATTACACTTAGGGAACTACCAGAGTCTAGTGGCTACACATTGGACAGGACTGTTCTGAATGTGATTTCTCTTGGGACGCCAAGCCATCTGTACATAAAGGTGGATTTTGTGACTGGGTCTGGGTTCTGAGTTTTATCCACATCATGTGAGGTAACTGTAAGCTTGAGGATGATCTATTGCTAGTTGCATCAACTATAAAGAAGGAAATTTGCAAGTTTGACTTATTATTGCTTTATATCCAAACACTTAAAATTGATCCCCTTAGAGCATCTGGTTATTTTAATGTTTATATTTCCTAAGACGGAAGGAAACTTCAGTGAAACCTAAAGGGCTGATGTTAAGCACACCCAAATGCAATGCCAAGCATATTGTGATTTTATTTTTATCGTTATTTTAAAAAACTCTTTTATTTTTGATTTTTTTGGAGGGGGACACAGGATCTCACTGTTAAGCTGGCTATGTAGCCCAGGCTGGCTTTGAACATCATAGCAATCCTCCTGTCTCAGCCTCCCGAGTGCTGGGATAACAGGCATCCATCATCAGGCCCAGAAGTGATTTTAAAAGGGGCTCTGTGTAGTCAAATTGGATGGCCTGGCAGAGAGGTCTATAGCAATTTTGTAATGGTGGGAATGTACCACCATTTCCTAAAGGGTAGCTGATGACATGATGCCACAGCTGCATGGTGGAGACATTACCACCCCTGTTCTTTCTACCTTTCTGTGCTAGAGCCTCAGCTTCCCATGGGATCCTGCTCGCCCCAGCCCAGCCATGTGCCCAGTCGCCCATTGTGTACCTGGAGAGCAGGGAAGGGGCTGCTGAGAATGAGGGTCACCATGCTGTGTCTCATCTGCTTCTCTGTCATCGCTGCTGAAGGCTACACTGGCTTCCTGGGGGTGAGTTGGCCAAGGTCCGCCTTCTCCTCCTGCCTGCCTGCATGTTGAGAATCCACCCCTCTCATGGAGACAGGAAATACATAGCTGGATAGACTTGCAGTATTCATTCCTGAGTTCTTGTCTCGTGGTCAGCAACCTCACTGGGGACCTAGAAAAATCACCCCCTCTCTTTGAGCTCAGAAGGCTGAGCCAGTAAGGCACTGGAGCCCTGGTATATAGTGCAACATGTTCTCTGTGTAGTGCAGAAAAATGTTGGAGCCAGCATTAGCAGCCCTGAGAAATCCTCCCCATCTCTGCTCACTTTCATCCAGGATCACAGTCTGGGTCCTTTCTAGAGCACCCAGCTTCTTTGTCTCAGCCCTCAACTTCTCCCCTGCTTGCTTTCACAGTGGGAGCCCAGGGGGTCCTCAAACTTGTGTGCCCAGGACCAAGCAGGTGTTTTCACATTTGATTCTCCTCCCTCTGTCTTGTCTCACCTAGTGGTACCTCCATCCCTCCAGCTGCTTAGGAGAAAAGAAATAAAAAGAAAGAGTTGATCTTGATTCTTCTCATGTTCCATGTCTAAACCATATCTTCTGTTGCTTTATCTTTAAAGATGTCCAGGTTTCAGACCCTCTCTTCTAACCCTAACCCTGACCCTGACTCTGACCTTAACCTCAGCCCTAATCCTAACCCTGTCCCCACACATCTGCACTGTAGGCACCTGCAGCATCTCAGCCATCCTGGACAAGCTGTCCTTGATTCTGTGCTTGTTTATCTCAGTGTGGCTTCAGGATTGAGAGGACTACAAGGCACATCAGAGAGTGTTTCCTCTCTCACGCAAATACAAAGAGAAGCCACACCACCTGTTCCTCGAGGTTCTGACCCCTGCCCCACCTTCTTCCTGCCTCTCAGATGCTCTGGAATCTTCAGGCTGTTGACATGTGCCCAGTGAACCCCCACCCCTCAGCCTTGGAACATGTGATCACCTCCTCTGGGAAGCTGTCCCTCCAGGGACAGTCACTTCCTCACCTCCTCTAGGTCTCTGCTCCTGAGCACTTCTGCATGGTCTTTCCTGACTCCTGCTGCCCCTAGGCTTGGATTTCAGATCCACGCCTTCAGTTCACCTGGGAAACCTGGAGGCCGATGGCGTACAACTTTCTCAAGCCTCACAGCAGCATCTTTTCTTTCTTACAGAGAAACAATGCCCTCAAAACAAAAAGAGAGCTCAGAGAGGATACGCAAGAGCTTCCAGGTGAGATTCTGCTCTGTGGACCTCGGTGCTGGCTGTACAGCACTGAGTGCCTCTGACTGGCTGTACAGCTGTGTGTGTTTTGAAACACCCCAAATCTGTAACAGGAGAAGAGCAGCAATTCCTGAGAGTGTGACATTTGCAAGTTGTAAATGATACAATCCCGTCTTACAACAAACCTTCCATGTGGTGTCCACAGACTTCCTCTCCTTCCCAGCATTCATTAACAAAGAGGCCACCAATGGCTCTGGGAACACCTTGTGTTGTGGACGTTTTAAGAGCTGAATGTATTTCCTCCTAAAAACTATGGTGCACACCGATGGCTGCTAGGTCAGTGTGCAAATATTTTTCTCCCACGCAGTGACTTTGCCATCAAAAACATGTTAATGGTGCTGCGGAACATTGCCTGTGGCAGGTTCCTGTGCTCCGGGAAAATGAAATCAACATTGCTGCTTGGAAGGTTGTGCATACCTTTTCCCTGACAATAAAAATACTGGGCTGTCACTATCAATGTGTGCCAGGCACCATTTAAAGTACATTATGAAACCTTCCAGTTAGTGAAACTGAGACACCCAGCTAGGAGCTGGAGGCAGGGTGCAAGCACAGTCAGTCTGGCTCCAGAACCAGCGCTTGTAAAGGCCCAGCAGAAGGATTCTGCCTGTCTATGAAGGCCGAGTGGGAACACCAGAACCCAGGAGTGTAGGAAACGGAAAAGTTATCTTTGGAAATAATTAGCTGGAGTTTAGTGTGTATGGAGGCTTGAGGACAGTGTAGCTTTGCTTTTGTATTTCATAGAAATTCTCAAATCTCAGCTAATTGTTGGAAGATTCGTTTACAGGAGAAGAAAGGCTTTTTGCAGAATGTGAGTGTGGGGTTTGCATTAGAGCTGCCGCAGGAGGGGAGAGAGGCAGGGTTTCTCCTTGGTCTCCTCCCTCCAGCAGGGGTGGGACGGAGCACCAGCCCTGGTCAGGGAAGTGGGAGGAGCAGCGTGTGCTAGGGCAGGTGACGCTGCCTACCTTGTCACTGCATGAGTGGCTCGGTCAGCATCCACATGACGGTGACAAGCAGCACAGTCACGACCCCCAGCACAACCAGTGGCTGCTCCTGAGCCCTCTCAGTGTTTTTCCTATAACAAGGCGGGCAGCTGACCATCTTTCTCACTCCAGACCCACCCCAGGAATTCGAGGTGCTACTGCAGGTGCCCTACAGAAATGCCGGGGAGAAGGAACTCCTGCGGAGAGCGCTGGAGCCTCCATGGGGGCCCACATCCCACTGCTTCCCGGGGCCCTCAAAGGTCCTGGGGGCGAAGGCCACCACATGTGAGTCAGCACTGGGCAGGTGTGGGGGGGGGAGGGTGCGTGTTAGCGTGCTTAGGGGGTGAAGTGGGACCCATCACACCACATCATATTGCTGTGGCCTCTGAGAGGAAAATTTAGGGTACAACTCTGAGGTGGGCACATGGCCATGGTGCAAGAGGCCGTAGGTCCCATCCCAGCACTGCAAAACAAACAAACAGAGGTGTTTCCTTTCTTTGCTGTTTGTCCATCTCCAAAGGCCACCTGTGATTGTTACTGTGTCCCAGACTGATGACCAGACACCATGCCAAATGTATGGTCTTGGGCCGTAGAAAGTAGAACCCTATCAGGGTTCACTTGGGAAGCTGTGCTCTGACAGGCACAGTTCTGCTCACATTGTAGCAGCCAGAAACTGCCTCAGGTCTGGGGAACCTGACATGCGCTCTTACCATGGGTCAGGACAGCAACAGGAAGTGACTGACCAAGGGCACTGCCTCTACTCTAAGCGATGCTTGGGCCGCAGAAGGGGCAGTGGCAGTTTCACAGAAATGCAAATGTGTGTGCCCTCTCACACTCACTGAACTCCAAATTCAGGGATGTCTGATGCGTGGTAACATTGGGGAACTGCTCACAGCTCATGGTCACGCATATTTTCACAAAGACATCTATCAATTTGGCTCTGTTGCTTTGTGCCTTAAAAAGCAATGGCTTTGATGGGAATTTCAGGTCCAATACAAAGTAAGGACCATGCAGGACTGCTTCACAGAACTTCTTATCACACAAAAAACCCGAAAAGTTTCTGTGTCTTTGCCATCTTGCTTTTAGGGCCTTCCTTAGAAGGTGAATGTAGGAGACTCCAGGGTCCTTTGGGGTCCTTTAAACAGCTCCAGTTTTGAGAAGAACCTCTGCTCCCCTCTCTGGTTTTGGTGTTGTCATGGGGACAGGAGTCCTCCTCGGTGTTAGGCCTGGCAGTTTAGTTTAGTGTCCTGACTCATTTTGCTAGGTCTTGGTGAGAATTACATGGTTCAGGTTTCCAGTCATTGCAAGGACAGGGCTCTGCGGGTCTGGCTGAGAACGGGGCTCTGTGAGACGGGTTCTGTCTTTGTGCAGACTGCCACGGCCATGATGGGGGCCTGCGCTGTGCCTGTGAGGACACCTACACCTGGTTCCCCTTCTCCTGCCTCGATCCGCAGCATTGCCTCCTGAACACGACTGGATCCTCCCCAAGCTGTGACTGTCATCTCAACAACCTCAGCCAGAGTGTCAACTTCTGCGAGAGAGCAAGTAAGCATGGAGGATTCTAGTAGGGACCTCTTGGTGGGGCATCCTCACTCCACCATAGAGAGGTCACCCTGGCCCATGGCCCTCCAAGAGAAGCTGGGGCCTGCAACGAAGGTGGAATGGGATGACCACCCACCCCTCAGGCTGGTCTAGACCCAGCACAGATTTTGCATGAGTTGAAGACCCACAAAGGCAATGAAGGTTCAAGTGTTATCGCAAATTCTTCAGACACTCAGTCCAGTTCTGCAATTATATGGTGTCAAGTTGAGATTTGCAGAGATTAGCTCAAATCCCAAGCAGGTGACTGCTTGAGCTGGGTGTTAGTGGAGTTGAGGAAGATGTGAGGGGAGCTTGGCATAGCTCAACCGGCTGGCATCTGTGGCTCCCAGTTCACGACCACAGCAGTTCAGGGTATGGCAACATAGATTCTCCAAGCACCATCTCTACGCCCAGTGCTGGGCTAAATTCTAGGGGGACATGAGGAACTATTTTTATTGTTCTCATCTATGAGTTCCCAGGTGTCTTGATTACGTTTTACTCATTGCTGAGCCAAAATACCTGACACTCAAAATTAAGGCAGGAAAGGTTTATTTAGCTCACAGTTTGTGGAAGTCTCAGGCCTTACTCAGCTGGCTCCAAAGCAGGGGTGTGTGGCACAGAGGCAACACTTCAAAGCAGCAGAAGACAGCAAAAGCAGGAGCAAAAGGGTCGGAGGTGCAGAGCAAGCTTATTTTCCCCCCTCACATTGTAAGCAGGTTACCGCTCCGTATGGCAGGTGTAGCACCCATATCATCTCTCTGGGTTCCTCTTGCACAGAATGACGATGTTTATAAAGTAAGGACCTTGGCTGGCTGCTGCGTTGCTTAGTTACAACTTCTACATTTCTCAAGTAGACACAATATATCAACCATTGCACCAGAACACTGAGGAGGCCAGGCTGTGACACAAGAAAGAGAACACTGTAATATCTCCAGCAAATATAAAGGAAAGGCTTTCCTCAGAAAGATTGCTCATGCCTGGTTCATCCTGAGGAGATGCAGAGAGAGATCAGACAAGGGAGACACTCACCAGGTGCTGCCCACAGGTCTGTCTTGATTGCACCTTCACAGACACATGTTTAGGCAGAAGAGGCTGCAGGGAACTAGAGGTTAGCAAATGGTAGACATGCAAAAGCAGAAAAGCTGTGTCTGGGGACCACGAAGGGGCTTACAGAAAGGATGACAGTGGACTGGGTCCTGAAGAAGGATGAGCAGGGATTCTTCCCTGTGGGGTGGGGCACCAGCAGTAGGCAGGTCAGCAAACAGTGCTTTGTAAGACAGATTTTGAGCAGAGGCAACGCTCAAGCTTCATGCCTAGACAAGCCACATGTTTGTAGTTACTGCCTTGGGTCTATACGGAGTGGCTGTGTGTTTTTGTACTTGGAAAGTAGTGTTGGATACCAGTGCCATTCATTCCTGTTGTAAGTCTACAGCTGAAAACTCTAGTGGGGTCTATGCTTCCTATATATTTTAGATTCACATTTATTATCAAAAAATTGAAATAGAGGTTGAATAGAGGGGCGCTGGATGACCACTGTTGAATAGATGAGCACTGAATCATACTTCTAAAATTTTACGTTGCTAATCAAGTCATATTAGAAAAGTATCACATCTAAAAACTTCTTCCTGTTTCCCATAGAGGTTTGGGGCACTTTCAAGATTCAGGAAACATTTACGAAGGACCTTTTGAATTCTTCTTCTGCCAAATACTCTAAATATGCATCTACAACTGAAAATCAAGTAAGAATTTCTATTTTTTGCATTGGGAATCATTGGCTAAATATGAGTTCTGATGTTTTCAATTTGGCTTGGATTCTTAACTATTTTTATTCTTAATAAATTCTGCAGAGAAGCTACTTGCTCTGCCCACAACTAGCACTCCTTGGGCAATTTTCTAGGAAAGATTACCAGCTGACTTTGACTGTTATACTAAGGATTCTTGGTTATTCTCTGAATTTTGTTTGCCAAAAGAAAGATTTTGGGGCCTATACTCCATTGTCAGTATTTTGGATCAGTTCCGTTAAGAAGATTTCTGGTTAGAGGCTGGAGACAGGTACTAGCAAAACCCTGGCCTTCATCATGAAGTGCTGGGAGCACTAGATCACCTCTGCCAAGATGGTGGCGTGGGTATGATTCAGCACCTGTCAGAATTAATGGCTTGGTTTGGACAAGAAGAAAGTAGATCAGAGTAAATTTATTGTATTTCACGGTGCCAAATATATCCTCTGTTCTAAGCTGTTATTATTCAATCTTTATTGGCACTCTCAAAACTAAACTTTCTGCGTGTGTGTGTGTGCTTGTGCACACATAGTGTACATTCTCAATTGTTATTTTAGCTCATTTATGTGACATGCAACCCCTTCCAGCAGTATCATTTTCCTTTGCCCTTTTGCAACAGTTGGTTTATTTATTGTCTGCATCCGTTTTTTTCCTCAAATGTCTTTCTGAAGTGTGAGAACAAAGATTAACACATGGTCTTTTGTTTTCTTTCTAAGCTCAAAGAAGTATTCGAAAAAATTCAAGGTTTTGAGTCAGTTCACGTCACTCAATTTCGGTAAGCAACACAATGGCCTTAGAAGAGCACCTCCAGGACCGCGCCCTGCAGAATTCTGAGCATGTTTACAGGGGACTGTGGCAGAAAATAGGGCCATTTAGTCTTTATAGTAGGATTATTGCTAACTGTGACCATCTTAGTTGCTGAGACAAAATACCGGATGCCCAAAGTTAGGGAAGGAAATGTTTATTTCTTACAGTTCTTGGAGGTTTCAGTCCATACTCAGTTCTGGCTGCAAGGCAGGGTGGCATGGTGGAGCCTCAGTTCATGGCAGTTGCAAATTGCAAGGCAGGAACCAGCAAGAGAAGAAGAGAAACATCTTCTTCCTGCCCTTTTATCATATCCTGGCTCCACCCTTAGGTGGGAGTAGCACCACCAATCCAAGCGTTAGACAACGAACCAATCACAAATGCTAGATTTGGTTAAGTTCATAATTCATGAGGCTTGGGGGCCACTGACATAAACCATGACAGTGATGCTTTAAATGAATCAAGATGGAAGCCTAGATTCTCACTGAGATGAGTTTAGGAGCTTAGATATTGAAAAATATTCTCAAAGCCGTGGATAGAGAGTAGAACCTGCAAAGGTGGAAAACAGGTGATCATGGTGTGGATGTGTGGGAACGGGTGAGTCATGGGTGCAGGCTGGGGTGTGGAGGGGTGAAATTTTTCCATCACAGCTACAGGGTATGTGATACTGTATGACTCGAAGCCAGAGGGGAGCCTTGGGTGAACTATTGCCTTTTCAAGTAGATATGGTACATCAAAACACAGTAGTCATCTACAGAAAATAAAGAGATACTTAGTAAATTAACCCTCAGCTTATGTTTCAATTTCAAAAACTACTTTTGTTAGTTAAGCATGTGTACACTGCAGTATTCACAGTTGGCTTGATAGAGGAAATAGCTTAAAGGTTGGAGAACTTGACTCATTATTATTATCATCATCATTATTATCTTTCTCCAGCCACAAGGAATTTTCTGTAGCATTTGCTATAAATATGTTGTCCTAGGCCTTGTCCTTTATATCACCCCACACTTTTTATCTATAAAGTCCCACATGAATACTTTTCTTCAAAATTCAGTGCTAGGAAAATGTTGTTTTCTTACATTGAGTCTACATAATTGATCCTATTTTCCTGAATGACTTTTTTTAAAATAAGATTTCCAAGACAAAATTTGCAACTGCACTGCTTTTTATATTTAATATTCACATTTTTCTTTTCCTTGGTTTTCTGTTTCTAATTGACATTCTATCATGTATGTCTTATAAAATGTCTTATAAAGCTGTCTCCAATAATTTGTGAACCTAATCACAAAGTAGGCATAAAGCTAGAAAGACAATTTTATTCCTCCTTACATACATGATTTAAAACAAACCTTGGTTTCTCATTGGCCCAATTTATTTATCTATCCAATGGGACAGCTCATACCTGCGGGACCTGACTGATCCTCATGAAATCAAATGCAATAGCAGATAGGAAAGGACCTTGTGGACAGACAGAAGGGCCTCAGGGTACACAGTGATCAGCCCTACACAGAAACTGTCTGGATTCATGTAGGCGATGTGAGCAGAAGTTCAAGCAGGGGCCAAGAACTTGAGCTTCAGAGCCTCGGCTCTAACTTACAAATTAGTAGAGGGTAATTTCCTGGCCTAGCTTCCCCATGGGTCCCATCTCCCTCCTCTCTATGGTGAGGATAATGCAGTGATGATGTCATGGCATTAATTTGATCGGCATCACAGAATCTCACTTGTTCCCGGTGCTCCAGCGCCATCTGCATGCTGCGGGTCTTTCACTTTTTACCTGAATGTGGCTGTTCCCTGAACTACGGATCTAGCTACCTGGCTGCTAGCCTGAGGCCCTCGCTTGGCTTCCAGTATGGCCATCCGGGTCCTCCCACTCCTAATCCATCCTGGTGTCAGTCTTCTTCTCTCTCCTACTGCTGTTCCTGTGTACCATCTCCAATCTCACAGCCAGCACTGTGCTCAGATATTAAGGGCACAGCTCAGCTCATTCTGTTTTGGCCAGTGCCTGGATCAGGGCTCCCTGCCACACCAGAATATTCCTATGGCCCCATGGCCCCTGGCTCTTTCTTAGCCAACCTCCATGCCCACCTGCTGTGCTCCCCCTACTGGCCTGCCTGCACCCCTGTGGGTTAGAATTCCTGCAAATGCAGTCACCCAGCCTGTGTGCCTTGCAGTCTGGCTTCTCTCCACTCCCACACAGTATCTTTGAGATGGGTCATTGATTTTTACAGCACTGTGGCTCTGTTCCTTTTATTCCCAGTAATATTCCATTGTGCAACACACTCAAATGTGTGCTTCCGGGCTTCAAAGCCATTCTTGACTGAGTTCATTCTTTCACAACTGATCCGCTTCAGGAGTGATTCTGACATCTCTTTCCTCATGTGCATCTCGTCTGACTGCTGCTTGCACTCCTTGCTACCCAGCTGCTTCCTTCCTGACTCATCTTCCTGGTTCTGAGTCTGCCTCCTTTCAATCTATTTCCAGAGTGGTGACCTGAGAGGATAAACATGAGTCTGCTGCTGCCTTTCAGTAAAGAATAAAATCATTAGTAAAGAAGGGAATTCAATCTCAAAGGTCCTCTGTGATCTGGCTCCTAGCTGCTTCTCCAATGTTACCTCCTACCTCTTTCTTTCTTGCTCATTGAATGTTAATCAAGCCAGACTTTAAATGAGTCAGGTTCACATCCCCCACTCCACCCCAGGACTTTTGCATGTGTTAGAATGTTAGCCCAATATTCTTTTCACCACTGGGCCTGTTCTTCACACCATTGAGGCCTTGGCTTCAAAGACCCCTTATTCAGAGAAGTTTCCTTGACCACTCCCTCGCCTCCACCTGTTGTCCCAATCACTGTACCCACCTATGCAGTGTTTAATACAATTTGCAAACATGTACTGCTTGGCAACTCTTTTCTATTTTCCCTGCCTCCTCCACTAGAAAGTGAGTCTTGTGAAGATGGGTCCTGAATCTGATTTGTTCTTTTGGACAAATGCCATGCACCTTGCAGACTGGATCCTGGGTGCTTGCATGGGCAGAAAGTGGGTTCACCTTCCTCATGTTTTGGTGGATTGGTATCTGGTGGTCGGCTTGTAACACCAGCTGAACTGCATCAGCGGGGTGCTGAGTGTGGACGGCCCACCTGAGTACTGTTGCCAAGATAAAAAGAAGACCTGGAGAAGAGGTAGTGTTGTGGGTCCTCCTAGTTGTTGTTGATTCTCTTGATGCCATTCGTTCTCCTGGAGGAATTTGCAGAGCTTCCTTCCTGATATGAACTTGGCTGTTCTCATCAGAGGAGCTCAGGACCTAGCTGTTCCTGAGAATGAGGTTCACTTTGGGGAAGCTCTGGTTCTTACTTTGAGCATCGCTTCCTGGCTCCGGAGGGGAAGATGTGTGCTGTTCAGTCTCCAGAGGAAGCTTGTCACGTCGGCTTCCTGATGTAAATTTGGCTGTTCTCATCTTTAGAGGTGCTCAGGACCTCACTGTTGCTGTGGATGGTTGTGGTACTTTTCAGGGGAACTCTGGTTCTTACTTTGAATGTTGCTTCCTGGCTCTAACCTGATCCTTCATCCCACTGGCACAGATTTTCTGGCTTCCATCAATAACCTTTGGGCCTTCCCAGCACAGATTCATGAAACAGACTTGCATGAGTCATTGTCATGGGCTCTAGGTCTCCAGCTGGATTCATGCAGAACACTGCCTTGGGATCCAGGCCCTCAGATGGATTTTTTTGGGGTCTTTAGTGTGTGGACAGATTTCCTGCACTTTTTGTGTTTGACTCCTTTGGGTGATTATTATAAAATGATACCATGAATTTTGTGTCCCGTATGGAATTATTTTCTTTGCAGTCTCTGACTACAGCACATCCTCCTTGCAGAGCCGGCAGTATCATTGTGGGCTTCGAAGTCATCGGCTCCAGCAGCACTTCCCAGCTGCTGGCCGCTGTCCAGCAGGAGGCCGCCTCTATCCAGGAGGCTCTCAGCAGAGTGTTTCCCCTGGAACCTGGCTCCTTCACCGTGTTCAAGAAAGGTAACCCAGCCCCCACCCTCAGCTTCGGCTGGGGAGCTGTTTAGCGAGTAGCTCACCCCTGCTCCTGTCTTCAGGAATAGAGGGGAGGTGCTTCCAGGAGAGAACTGTTCTCAAACTGACTTCCAGCTGAAACAGGTACTATTTCCCCGACTATGGTAAAAGTCAGTGTCAGCCAATGTTTTCAAGTCTTCTCTGACTTGAGAAGTAAGCAGATTCGATCTCTGAGTGTAAACTCAGGAATGGTTCGCCACATGTGACTTCCAAAGCATCCAACCCCTATGACAGGGGTTAGTTAGGATCTGGGTCCTTCCCTGTGTTTCCATTCTTTTCCAGCCATGTGTCACAGTGCAACCTTTGGGTTCGGGACTGAGGATGACGAGTATACCCTGCCCTGCAGCAGTGGCTACACTGGCAACATCACAGCCCGGTGCCGGTCCTCGCGGTGGCAGATGGTGCAGGAGTCCTGTGTGCTCTCCCAGCTGCAGGAACTGATGCAGGTGATGCATCTCTATCATGTGGCTCTGCCCGGCCCTGTGTGCATCTCCAGAGGACCAAGGAGGGTGGGCATGAGTAGGAGGAGCAGCTGTGAAGGTGGACGGTGTCCAGGGTAACGGCTGTTGAGGATTGAGTCAATGCTGAGGCCTCTGACATGCAGTGGGCCGTCAGCTAAGCCGCCTTGGAAGCCTAGAGGTCTGGGCGTTAAAGATTTAAGCTAGGGTGTGTGTGGGGGCAAAGGAAGATCTGCACATATCAGGAACAGGAACAGAGCTGGTCAGGGTCCCCGTTTACCAGCCTCCCTCTGCAGAGGACCAAGAGCCAGGGGCTCCTCCGTGAGCAAAGGTAGCAATCTGGAAACACAGTCATGACGGTCCCTGTACCATGCGGTGGGCCCTACTCTTCTTTTCTTTGCAAAGTCTGAGTATTAGACAAGGGAGTTGTGGAGAAAGAAATGAACGTTAGGACTCGAGTCACAGAAAAGAAGGAGCCCGGGGTCAGTGCCAGACACAGCCTGAGCCAGCTTCCATCTGGAGCAGAACTTCCATCCCCAGAGACCTTGCTATTGCAATAAAGATCTTATGAGGTGCTGATCAGACCCCACAGAGTGTTCATTTCTCCCTTTCTGGGCCTCAGTTTCCTCCTCTGTAGATTGGGGAGGGGAACAGTACCAGGAGACCACTTGTTCTGTTCTTGCTCTTTTCAACCCTGTTCTGAGCATGGGCCAAGACTAGAGCTTGTTCACCCAGGTGCAATGGTGGCAGAGAGAACAGCCACCCAGAAGGCAGCGCCTGGGTCCTGGGCGAAGCAGAGGGAAAGGCCCTTCCTACAGCTTCCGGTTCAGCACAGCACAGCAAAAGTGAGGGCACCCTAGAGGCGTGGATGCAAGTCAGTAGCCAGTCATCACAGTAGCCACTCCACAGGGATTTAACCCAGGACCAGCACTAGGTCACTTCACTTGGTACTCTTGGGAAGGTCCCCAAACCCCACCAGTTGATGCAGTTTCTATATCATTAGGATGATGGTGTATATGAAAGTGTTATTAAACAAATCTTTCCCAGTTTCAGTTTCCTTAGCTATGAATGGCAATAATCATAGCACCTCCCTCCAATGTCCTTAAGGGACTGAATCAAGGACTCTAGGGAAAGCGCTTAGCACTGTATTGGATAGGCGAACGTTGAATCATGGCCACTGCTGTCATCATGGCTACTCAACTGTCCCGTGATCTATGGCACTGTGCAAATACTGGCCAAGACATCCAATCACAGGCTGAGCAAACCCAGCTTTCTGTTTCCTAGAATGTAACAGTCTCTATTTCTAGAACTTCACCGCCATTGCGGACAGTGCCACACAGGCAGATGTGTCGTCCTTGGTACGAAACCTCTCAGTCATCGTACAGCGGAACCCATCCACCACATCTGGAAACCTGGCTTCAGTGGTGTCAATTCTGGGCACAGTCTCAACCCTATCCCAGGAGAAGCATTTCACAGTGTCAAACTCAACCTTGGAGGTTTGTTCCTTGGGGACAGAGAAGCCCTGTGACAGTCCTCCTGTTGGTGATGTTGCTATATATTCAGAATGCAAGGGGCCACGGGTTCAGCAGTGTGGCTGTGCAGGGAGAGAAAGCTGCCCTGGGCAGCTGAAAGGAGAGATGAGCTTCTGCACCCCAACTTTTGACTCCTGCTTGCTGCCTGCAACTGTTCCCTTCTGTAGCCATGAGCTCTATCTCAGTAGTGTATACCCCCCAAACCTTCTTTTCCTCCTCCTCCTCCACCTTCTTCACTTTGTTTTTCTTGGAGACAAAAGTCTCACTATGTAGTTCAAGCTGGCCTTGAACTCACTCTGTAGCCCAGGATGGCTTTGAACTTGTGGTATCCTCTTGCCTCAGTTTTCCAAATGCTGGGCCAAAACCTTTCTTCTCTCAACTAGGAGTTCATGGTCTAGTCTGAATGTTTAAAAATTAACTTAAACATTATGCTAGTGATACACAGTCACTATTAGTAATGCAAATAGACAAAAAGAGAAATAAATGACCTGTAATCTTGGCATCCTAGGACAGCTGCCACTCACATTCAGGTGTCTCCTTGGGATAGGTACAGTGCCTGCTCCCCTGAGGGCCTTCCCCATAGTTTGGAAGGGTGCATTTTATACTTTGAAGTCTAAGTATTTCACAACATTGGCTTATGCAATACAAATTCCATAATTGTACATTTATACTTCACTACCCAGGGTGAAGCTTTTACTGAAAACAAACTAACTTTCACCCTTGTGTTTCAGGATGTCATCAGCATAGCCGACCACATCCTCAATTCATCATCGATAAGGAACTGGACGATTTTATTGCAAGAGGACCAGCAGGCCAGCTCCCACTTTCTAGAGGCACTGGAAAACATCACCATTCTGGTACCTTCCTCTGCTCTACCTCTGAACCTGTCTAAGGAATTTATTAACTGGCAAGGGATTCCATGGACCCAAATCCAGGGTAATCACAGTTACAGCTACCAGGTTGAGATGTTCCAAGAAGATCGCTCCATCGGAGGCCATGTTTTTATTAGCCCAGAGCAATTCCAGTTCTCTGCTCCAGAAACTATCGTCAGCATGGCCTCCGTGACTTTGGGGAACATCCTGCCCAACACCCAAGGTGACCTTGCTCAAGTCAATGGGCCGTTGATATCTACAGTTACCCAAAACTATTCCATCAATGAAATCTTCCTGGGCTTCTCCAAGATAGATGCTAACCTGAGCCAGCCCCGCTGTGTGTTTTGGGATTTCAGCCATTTGCACTGGAGCAGTACTGGTTGTCACCTGGTGAATGAGACTCCAGATGCAGTGCTGTGTCGGTGCACTCACCTGACCTCTTTCTCCATGCTGATGTCACCCTCTGTCCCTGCTCCGATTGTCCCTGCGGTGAGATGGATCACCTATGTGGGCCTGGCCATCTCCATTGGAAGTCTCGTCTTGTGCCTGCTCATTGAGGCTCTGTTTTGGAAGCAGCTCAGAAACACCCAGACCTCGCACACACGCCACATCTGCATGATGAACATAGCCCTGTCCCTCTTGATCGCCGACATCTGGTTTATTGTTGCCACCACCATCGACACCACTGCCGGCCCCTCTGGCGTCTGCACAGCTGCCATCTTCTTCACTCACTTTTTCTACCTCTCCTTGTTCTTCTGGATGCTTGTGCTTGGCGTCCTGCTGTCTTACCGCCTCATCTTCGTGTTCCACCACATGGCCATGCCTTTCATGATGGCCATAGGGTTCTGCGTGGGCTATGGATGCCCGCTCATTATATCTGCCATCACCATTGCGGTCACTCAACCTAGCAACAGCTACAGCAGGAAGGACGTGTGTTGGCTCAACTGGTCAGATGGGAGCAAACCTCTCTTGGCTTTTGCTGTCCCTGCGCTGACTATCGTGGTTGTGAACCTGGTGGTGGTGCTGTTAGTGCTCTCGAAACTCTGGAGGCCAACCGTCGGGGAGAGAGTGACCCAGGATGAGAAAGCCACCGTCATCCGCATGGGGAAGAGCGTCCTCATCCTGGCCCCTCTGCTGGGGCTCACCTGGGGTTTTGGCATCGGAACCATGGCGGACAGCCAGAACCCCGCCTGGCACATTCTCTTCGCTTTGTTCAATGCGTTCCAGGTGAGACTTACGAGCATGCTTTATTGCATTCTTATGTCGCTAGAGTAATAACAGAGGGCTTGGGGTGGTAAATTACTCTGGAGTTGTCTCTTCTCCCTGGCTCCCAGAGGGCTGTCAGGAAAACTACATGGAAACAATGAGAAGGGCAAACAAATCCATCTTCCCCAACATTTAGTGTCATAATAAAGCAGATAATTGGGCTTCTCCAGGAGTCTGCTGGAGGGCTTTAAATCTATTCCTGTGCACAGAGCTCATGCTAATCCTTCCTGCTACTGGCTCTGCCGCTTTCTCCTGTGCAGACCTCTGAAAAAGCATAGAGAAAGGGCAATCTAGCAAAAGTACTGTTGACACTGAAAGGTACCAAGGAAATTCTTCCAGTATGATGAGTATTGACTGGCAACCTACCTCAGATGGCCTGATTTTGTAAAAAAAAAAGATGTTATTGGCACATATCTGCACCCAGTGGTTACATGTGGCCGATGACTGTCTTCCCTGCAATGGCAGTGGAGACCTGCAGATGTCTGCAAAGCCTGGCACATTCACTGTCCGGCCTTCATTGAAAGCAGTTCTCTAACCCTTGCTGTCGGATCACATTCTGAATGGTTGGTGCTGCATGGGAGAAGCCTTCCATCCTGCTGTGAGCTCCACGTGCATTAGAAATGTCTCCCTCTCACAGACTGCTTCTTTATGCATTTTGAGGCTAACACGCTTTGTGTGCTTGTGTTGTGGAGGTCACCAATGTGCCCTGTCTGCAGGGAGACCAAGCAGGAAAGAAGGCCAGAGCCGGGTGGTACAGCAGGATAATGCCACGAATGGATAATTTTTTTATGGAACAGAAAAAAGACTATAAATATAATTAACTTATTTTTCCTTGTTAAAGGGACTTTTCATCTTCTGCTTTGGAATACTCCTGGATAACAAGGTGTGTTACATTACCCTCTGTCTAAAACCCTGTCTTTCCATTCTGAAAACATTACCATATAGTAAGGGATTGATGGAAGGCACTTTTGCAGTAAAATTCTATCATTTTACCAAAGGCAGACTTAGCCGGAAGGCAAGGTCACCGCTGATGAAGCCATAAAGATTCAATCTCGACATGCAGTGTGAATATTTTAGAAAAATAGGGAATCTTTTTTACATTTAAGTTTCCTAATTTAAATGATGGTTTGACAGTGACTGAAGAGGAAAATCACTTTTCAAAGGGGTGAATTCCTTTTTGATCTTACAATTAGTTTTCTTTTTTGATGTCTGTGTGTGTGTGTGTGTGTGTGTGTGTGTGTGTGTGTGTGAGTGTGTGTGTTTCATACGGGGGATTGAACCTAGGGCCTGAGCTACATCTCCAACTCCTTTTTCATTTTTTATTTTGAGACAGTGTCTCACTAATTTGCTAGACTGCCTCAGCTGATCTTAAACTTGCAATCCTCCTGCCTCAGCTTCCCAGAGTGCTGGGATTAAAGGCATGCACCCCCATGTCTGATTTATCTACTTATTTAGAACATGATGAAATCATATCAGTTCTTTATCTCTAGAACTTTATATACTAAATATTAAGGAGCATTTCATATTAAGTAAAATGAAGTTCTAATGAAGGACTATCAATTTAACTGAAATATAATAGACAAAAATTTAAGGATATTTTATTTTATTATTTTCCCCCAGGCTTTGAGTGACTCCACTGAGACAAGTAATAGCAGGAAGTTCATAGACGTGGAGTCACTGTTTTAATGAGAAGATGAGAATATTTTGTAGTTAGCACAACTGCCACAGATCCTATTTAAACAAAAACAATTTCCTGCTCTAATTGCACTAAATAATTGCCCAAATTATATCACTTACATGCTTGGGGAATCCTTCATTTCAGATAAACTCCAATTTAGTAATTACTGCCAATTACTAATGTCTATAGACTGAGTTATTATTGTTTAATCCCAGTTTTGTTTATAGCGAAAGAGCATAAGAAAACAATCTTTTATCAAGTATTTATGCCCATAGTCTATCACATGCTTCTAAGAAATAATACCATTAAGCACCAGTTTCATCCTGCAGTTTTTCTGCGCATGGTTATGTGTGACTATACTTGTGTATCTCTTCAACATTTCTGTGTCGTCCTAGCTGCGGCAACTTCTGATCAGCAAGTTGTCTCCGATACGCTCTTGGAAGCAGACATCGAAGGTAATTATTGTCTCCTCCAGCACAGAGTCAGCTTCACCCCGTGCTGTGTGCAGTCTCGCTACTGGTCTGCTTCTGTGCATGGTCCTTGAGTTTCTGTCACTATCCTTTCCTGCTGTTGGGTTAAGGTGCCGGACACACAGTCAGTGGTCTGAGTGGGTGAATGTGGAGGCGTGGAGCTGACCACAGGTCTGGGTGTTAGGTCTGTGGGTGCACAGTGGTGCCAGGCCTTTAAACTGTCATTTGTTTTAGTCCCTAGCTACTTGAGCCCTTAACTCTGCAATCTACCATCTGACAAGTTCGTATGAGGGTAGATGTCTGTTTCATTCTTTGCCACAGAAGTGCCATCTACAGTAGAATTCAAGACAAAAGTACTTACATATGTGTTTGCTGTTTTTAAGGTTGAGGTAGACTTTTGTCTTTTAGCAAGGCAGAGATTTCTGTATTTGATAACTAGCCAACTGACTTAACTGCATCCAAACCTGGGTGTTTAGAGATTTTTTACAACAAGAGCATAAGCTTTTGAAGTAGAAGTCGATGAGGAAATCATCCTCTGCGTTCTGGAATCTTCCTGGTCTGCATGCGTAGCAGACTGTAAAGCTGCAAGGGAGGAGTGGTGGCCGGGGGCCAGCAGACCTGCCCTGCATTCTGACTTCAGGCCCAGTTGGCTGAGTGATCTTAGGAAAGTTCCTTCATCTCTTTGAGTGTCAATTTTCTTAGTCATATAAATTAAGTGCTGAACTAACAACTCAAAGAAGTTCTAACACTCTGAGGTTTTATGTCTTCAAGAACTAAAATCCTTTGAACCAGAAAATGCGGAACTAATGTCATTATCTACTCTTATGAAAAGGAGGAAGTCACAGAAAAGAAAAGCCTTTGGTAAATAAAAATAAGTCAGGATACTCTCCATCCTGTAGAACAGGAAGTCACAATTTTTCTTATTTGAAAAATCAAAAAGCGAGAAACGCCCCCACATGAAATAACAGCAGAAGCAAAAATCCTTGGCCATGTTTCTGCCTGCTTCTGAGGTGGTGTGAGCTTTTTTCAGAAAACAGAATAGTCAGCAAGGCCTTTGCTAGTTTGCATTCCTATGCTGCCTTCCCTGTTTTGTTTTTAAATTGAGTGACTTATCTGGCTAACTGACTCATTTGCTTTAAAACAAATGTTCATTTTGTATAGAAGGGAAGCATTTGTAATTGTCCAAGGAAATTTGAATGAAGAAACAAGAACTCAGTTTATGGATGATGAGAAAAGATGGGCACCAAGAAATCACTTGACAGTGAAGGGGATAAGGAAGGAGTGACATGAGACTTAGATTGCCAGGATTTGAGCAGGGCTCTGTGTTGGGAAGGCTGAGTCAAAAGCAAAGGTTAGAAACATGGGATAATGAGGGCAAAATAGACAGGAAGACTCCAGAGAAGCCAGAGACTCACTGGCTATTCTGAAGATGAGGATTAGCCTCTTCTTTTAACACAGAAAGTGTCAGACTGATGCAGATAGAAAAACTTGTAGAGCTCAAGGTCATGGGTTCGGAGTTCATTAAGGAATGGCAAAGGGGCGATGAGGTAGGGATCTTGGAAAGATTCATGAACAGATGGTATTTGGCCAAAGGGAGTCAGCAATGTTCTCAACAAAGATCATCCTTTAGGCCACAATTTGGGGTAACTGTGTGGACCCAAAAGATGGTTTCTAACAAAATTTTCTCTCTCATAAAGGGCTCCTTTGCCCATTCCTGAACAAAGGCTGAATTTACCTAGCTACTTTTTAGTTCCCACAGGGAACTCAGGTCCTGTGATTTTACAGTTTAAATCCAGATGACTTTACATGTCAAGGGAGACTGCTTCTTCCCAGAGCAAACAGAACTCCTAGGTCTTCTGCAACCTAAGAATACTTTCTCTACAGGGGAAGGATGCTGTTTGAAAAGCAGTGTTCCCTTAAGAGTCTCTTTAGGATTATACCATTACATAAGCATTGAATTTGGGAAAATCAATTTGCCTTGAGACTTTCGAACCTTTTTTCATTTTTACTTACCTTGTAATTTTTTTCAGGATTTAAATGAGGTGTGTACATATATATCTTAGTGAAAATTGGGACACTCTCACTGCTCTATCTATTGCTTGTGATAAGAACTTTTTCTCTCCCATCTTAACATAGCTTCCTCATGACATGGATCATAGCAAGAAATGGAAATTGTGCCTTCCAGTATTCCCAGTGCCTGAAACAGTGCCTGGCATACAAAGTCACACAATATGAGATTAAATTAATGACAAATGGAAAACTTCATGAGTGGAATAAGATATATCTAAATACATTTTTTATCTTTCCCAATCAGTGTATAATCTTTGTTTTAAACATATCAGTTTGATAATTCAGCTTATTTTTTTTGGTACCAGGGATTGAACTCATGACCTGCCCATGCCAGGCAGACACTTGTACCACTGAGCTAAATCCCCAGCAACTCAGTTTTAAATGAATTGGAAAATTAATTTTTTTGTTACCCTAATGACTAAAGGATGATTCACAAAGAGCTGAATGTTAATAGACAGTAAGAGACAACCTACCAGGGACCATTTTTATTGGGATATGCATTTATATGTTTTTTTTTTTTAGTGACTGTTGTATGAACCAAAGAAATGTCAGCACAAATATAAAAAGGGGTAATATCTCCCATAAAACTGTTTTCTGATTTCTGGTTAAAGACTGAAAAAATACATAGAGGCACAAATTAATTTGGAAATAAATTCTTAGGCCTTTCAAGCTGATTGAAGCAGAAGTAGGAAAAAAGGAGTGACTATCTTAAGTTCTTGAAAAGAGAGTAACACAGTGTATAGATAGAATAAAAATTCATTCATGCCATCAAGAAGCCAGGGAAGCGGGACAACCACCAAAAGTATACTATTCGTGTTAAACAACTTGATTTTCTTTTATTCAGCGAAATTCACCAGATGTACCTGCCAAACTCAAACAAGTAAAGTATTTCCATTCACTGACAGAAAAAGGTGAGTTACAGTAAAACAAGTATTGTATGAGGTGGGAAGAGGGTAAATGATTACATGACAGAAATCAAAGTCAGTGACAACTCTTAAGAAATTCCAGGTGAGGAGTGTGACCATGTTAGCCCAGGGTGGGTTCAGAGTTCACCTAGACTGTGCTCAGGGCTGACAGTGTCAAGACCTTGTGCTCTTGGGAGCAGTGAGTGTCACTGTGAGACTGCACCACAGCTCTGTTAGAAGACGTGGTCACCAAGGTATGGGTGGAGGGGTATATTTAGATCAATACCAGCCAAGTCCTTACTGATGCGTTAAGACCACGTCATGTCTGGAGGAGGCAGGAGCCACATCTGCTAAAGGTAAATATCACTGTCCTCACCTCTGGCTCCCATAGGTCTCATGTTCCTGTATCAGAGGTTACTGAAGCCCATGATATCCAGCTACCAGAAGGCCAATATTTAAACACTGCAAACAGTCACTGTCTCTTTGGAGGGAAGGGTAATGTGGGAAGGGAGGAAGACACATTGCATTATCAGTTAAAATGAAGTCACAAGTAAGAGCCCTAGTCCCATTCAGTTTCACGCTGAATTATGCTAACATCATCATGAAGACTGAGAAATGGGCAATCCCATCAAAATGGTTTAAATTTCACATGAAGTTCATATATATGGGGAATGTGCTCATCTAGAACCCTTGGGTCCTGTTATCACTACCCCCAACTGACCTGAGTGCTTTTTAAAATTCTCCTTGACCTTTCTAGTCATTTGTTTCTTGTTAGTAAAATGAAAATCTAAGATATCCCTAAGGTTCCTTCCAGTGATAACAAGCTGTGAACCCAAATCATCTGTTTTATTGTACTTCCCTGCAAAAAAAAGCCATAATACTGTGTCTCAAACAAGTGATGCTTGGTATATGCCAATTTCAATGGTATCAATGAAATGCTGTCCCTCTTGATCGACTACACCCTGTCTCTTGGCCTCACATCTCCTCAACTTACCCCCAGTTGTAAGAAAGCCCATAGGATGATTTTCATTTTGGTCTCATGCTTGAGTTCAACACAGTGACAATAATTCTTATCCCCTTCTTCCCTTCAGGCAAGTATACACTTTCTCATCCTGGAGAGTCCTCCAGTGGCATCATGCTGACTCAGTTTCTATCAAATGATTAAGGTCAGGAATCATAAAATCAAGACACACTGTTCGGAGCCCCTTGGCATTTAGAGCTAGATGTCAGAGAGGAAAGACTGCTTCATACCAGATGACATATTCTGACCCAGGACCAGGACTAGAGGGTTCTGGCTGCTTTTTTACTGCCTCCTTTATCTCGAATTCAATGGAAGGAAGATTTATTTCCACATGGCTTGAGTCAAAGAAGTTGCCTGCTAAGTGCAGAAGAGTTTGCTTTGTTGGAAATTTTGTCATTTGTCCCTTCTCATGATCGCAAGATATGGCTTCCCTTTTCCTAAAATGACCTTGACAATAGGACCTTTCCAGTCACGGATCAGAATAAGAAAACTCCACAAGCTAACCTTAGATGACAGTGCTGATTTTCTTTTCAAAAAGTTCTTGGTGTATGTTTCCTAGAGAAAAGGCATTCCTCTTCCAGATTTTCCAGTTGAATTTTATGCTTCTTCTTTTTTTTTTTTTTCCTTCATGGGTTCAATCTCTTAGCTTTGAAGGCTAATCTGAAACAAAATAAAAACTTCCACTTTGATAGCTGTGTAGCCATTTATGAGGAAGGGCAGCAATGTGACTTGATGTGGAACGGAGCATTTTACAGTTTGCAGTGCCTTTTCATGTGTTCTCTTACCCAGTAACTGAAGCATCCAGGCCAGAGGTAAGGAAAGTGAAATCATTCACCAAAGACTGTAAAATCACTACAGGACAATCAGGATTATTTTAAGATTTGGTCCTAACCCATGTTTGCAATGCCATAATAGCCTTAAATCCTGTTTACAACCTTAAGAAATCTTTACGAGATGAGATGCATGGTTCACTGTTCATTCCCAGAATTCTAGCTATGGGAGAGAGGAGTTAAGGGGGAGTTTGGTAACCAGCTTCCAGGTTGTGCCTCCTACTTCTGGATTGTCTCCATCATGCAGCGGAAGTGCTTTTTGGAAGTTATTTATGAGGATAATTGGAACAGCTTTAGGATGGGGGCAGAGCTGCAGGTGCGGGGATGCTAACAAGCAGCACGACTTTCCCATAATCCTGTCACTCTGAGGTCACCTCAGGGTCAGCCCTCACTGCAGTTTTAAAAGATCCAAACTTCAGAGTCACCATTCCTGTTTTGAAAGCTACAAAGTGTTAAAGCATGTCCGTTAGCTCCTGACATGAAAAGCCATCATGATAAACAAATAAAGGTACTGTGGGGAATTTCTACTAATGGGAGTGAGTTAGACAGACATATGTAGAGAAAATTTGGGTTCAAAGTTCCACAAGGCACCAAGCAGCAACACCGATGAAATGTCAAGTGAGATGTTCAAAGAAAACGACTGAGGACCACTTAGAAGACTCCACACCCCATGAACATATCCAAAAACCAGAAGAGAATTTGGTGAGAAACAGAGCCTTGGAGAGAGCTGCTTGGCAAGCCTCCTCAATTCTCTCGTTTGGATGCCTGCCCCACACACAGCATGGGAAAAGGACTTCGTGATCACCCTCTATGGAATATGGCACATGGGGTGTGTGCGTGGCTGCTGCTGTCTGATTCTTGCCTGGACTTGGACCAGGGCTCTGTGCTTAGACTGGCTGCACAGAAGTGTTTTCCAGGGCCCAGGGGTGCTTGTGCTTCCCAGGAACCATGGTGAGATGTGCAGGACAGAGCCTAGATGGGGCTGCAAGGTCCTGTGTGACAGGCTGTGCAGAGAGGGAAAGGAAGCCAGCATCAGAATTTGCATGCAATACCGGCATGGAGTGAGGACAGAGTCACAAGTGACCAGTGTGGGTGCAGGAGAATCTTCACTGTTGAAGGACTTGCAGGTGAGAGACCAGGACTGGGGAAGTCTCGAGAGTCAGAGCAGTTACCATGCAGTGTCACGCTGTCTGACATCAGGTGAGGGGAGCCTCATCTCTTCCTGGGGTGGGAGAGGGGAGGTAGAGAACCTCAGTGGGCAGGGTGGGGAAGCCAAACAGGAAAACTAAGGCCAATAGCAAATAGGATCAGTGTGGCCGCAGTCAGCCCAAGGCAGGACTTGGCTGGAGGAGAAACATTTGATACTAAATTGCTTGTCACTTCTTAACATACTTTTATCACACACTTAAATTTATCCAAATGTCCCTGTTTTCCAGGCACATAGGGGTCCTGGAGGATATCTGGTGAGGAGGAAATCTCCCACAGAATAGTTTTTATCAGGCAGAAAATATAAGTGTTTGATCTCATACCGGGTGTCATGCTTGTCTAAGCCATTGGTTACACACATTCACCTAAAAATTCTCCTAAAACAATAAAAGCAAAAAAGCAGAAAAGTATCTTAATAGTTTTTTAATTGCTTCTTCCCATTTTATTAGCTTATTCCATTCCTATTGTAGTACAGATATTTATTGTTGTCACAAAGTTAGCAGCTTGAAAATCACACTGATCAGAGGACAGAGAGCCCAGCTGATAGGGCTCATGGGGCTGGAATTAGAGTGCTCCTTAGGCTGTGTCTTAATCAGGGGCACAACAGCAGAAAAATCCAGTTTCAACTTATCCAGGCTGTGGGCAAAATTCACCTCCCTGCGGTTGTAGGAAAGAAAGCTGTGCCTTTTGGTTTCCCACCTGCCAGAGGTGACCCTCGGCCCCTAGACTATGTGTGTTTCTGTCCCTGGTCTTTCCAGCCTGGAAACTTTATCTCATTAAGCCCCCAGGAAGAGTCTCTCACTCCGGTATTGTCTTTTTTTTTTTTTAAATTAAGTTTATTGGTGCAGTTTAGAGGTACATAACAATCACCTTCATCATACGTTTTGTCACGTATTTATTTGCCATTTGTACTTCTGAGAAGTGTCTATTCATTTTAGATGCCTATTTTTTGGACTGGGTCTTTAAATTTAGGGGATCTGATTTTTTTCAATTTTTATAGATTCTAGATATTAGTCCTATGTCTGAAGAACAACTGGCTAAGATTCTTTTCTCACTCTGCAGGCTGTCTCTTCATTCTGTTGGTGATTTTTTTTGCAGTGCAAAAGGTCTTTAATAAGATGAGATCCCAGTTGTTGATTCTTTGTAATATTTCCCATGCCATCAGGGTTTGTTCATGAAGTCTCTGTCTACACTTGTGTCTTCATACCTCACAGAACTAAAAAAAAATTCCTAAAATTCATTTGAAACCAGAAGAGACCTAGAATAGCAAAAACAATTCTGAGCAACAAAAGTTAATTAGGGGGCATTATATCCCTGACTTGAAATTATATGAAGCTATTGTGATTAAAAAAAACCAGAGTGGTATTGGAAAAACAAAACAAAACAAAAAGACCTGAGGATCGATGGAACAGATTGAAAGTTGCAAACACAACTACAAACACACTCAGCCACCTTATCTTTGACAAATGGGCCAAACATGTTCACTGGAAGAAAGATAGCCTCTTAAATAAATGGTGCTGGGGAAAATGGCTTTCCAAATGCTGAAGACTAAAACAGATCCATTATCTATCACCATACATTAAACTAAAATTGAAATGGATCAAAGATCTAAATGTTAATACAGAAACGCTAAATTCACTGAAGGAGAGACTAGGTAGAATCCAGTCTAGACATAAACAGAGTCTTAGGTCATAAACGTGTAAGTAGGGAAGTTACACTCCACCAGAGACAGGACTTGACGGAAACTTTAAAGCTGAGTGATGACAGCAAAAGGAACAAATGATTGCACGGATGCTGTGCATGGGAAGACAGTGACAAAGGAAAGCACAAGAGGAACATCTTCATCTGTCGGCGAGGTTCAGGGTTTGGAAATCAACAGAATGGAGATGATAAGAAACATTATGCTCCTGTTATTTAAAAATATGGGTAAAAGAATAACAAAAGAACCAGCTAAGTAACAAGACGAAAAGGATTTGCCTGTGGGAAGGAGAGAAGGAAGGAGTTGCCGAGTTGAACTTGGAAGCTACAGTGTTCTCCGAGCTCTGGTGGCATCAGGCAGCTCCTCCGGGTCTTGGAGGTCCTAAGACACTTATAGCCTGATGTCAAGCGGGCTGATAGGTCTGCTAACTGACTGCTTAGGGAAGGTGTGTTCTGGAGCCCACTTGAGGGTCAATAGCCCAGCCCCAGCTGGATAAGATGCCTGGTGGGCACTGGGGATTATGAAGAGGTCTCTGGGGTGCCCATCAGCACCACAGTCAGGGCCAGGCAGAACCTTTGAGGTTTTCTTATGAGCACAGTCTGAGGGTGCATGGAGGTGGGGTGAGGGAGTCAAAATGCATAGATGGTGAGGGTGTCTGGGGCCCGGGCTTCTCCAGGAGCCCGCACCCAGCAAGGAGCCTGCATTCTACCTCCGAGAGCCAGGCCAGGAAGGAACCGAGCATGCTGGCCAAGGCAAAGCCAGGAGCTATGGATGCAAAAGGAGAGGGGAGGACACAATCCGGAAAAGGGAAGAGAAGGAGCTGTCGATGGGCAGAAGGAGAACTAGGGCTGTCCTCTCCCAGGGCAGACGCGAGCTCATCTGGGGGAGTGCAAGGCTCCATGCAGACTCAAGGAAGCTATGGTCAGCACAGCCAACCAGGGTCAGGTTCCGTGTGACCATGGGGTCTGAAACTTGGGGCCCAGCATGCTAGTGGGCCTCACAATAGAAACCCCACTGTTGGAAAGTGACTCAATGAACACTTAAGGGGGACCTGTGCTTGACTTTGCATGGCCCACTGTGAGCCTTCCGAGCTCTGTAAGTCGCTATTTTAGGAAGATCCATTTTCTCTGTCTCCCAGCTGCTTTCAGAACAAACAAAAAAACTGAGAAGCAGTCACCCTGTAGCACCCAGAGTGGCTCTCAGCCTGTACAAGCCCCAGGCTACTTCTTTTTTTTTTTTTTTTTTTTTTTGGTCTTTTTCCTTTTTACCGGTACCAGGGATCGAACCCACAAGGAGTTCTTGCGCAGAAGATGGGGCTGCGGTGGGGCTGAGCTGCACTTACCCGTGTCCAGCTACAGGTGGCAGCCTCTGACCAGGAGGCTGGATCCCTGCTGCGCTCAGACCCTGGAGAAAAACACTTTCATCCCACCTCCCTAATTAGGAGCCTTTTGATGGTTACTGCTGTGCTGTGTATAGTAAAAGAGATTAGGGAGCTAAGAACATAATAGCCTAGTTTCTGGGTGCAAAGGCCTGTTTCCTGGGTTTCAGCTCAGGGTGCTGGTAAACAGCCTACATGGCTTCCAGGCAAAGCAGGAATTAGCCATGGTCAGCAGCGATTTCCACCTGCTGGAGAACTAGCACTGACTTGTGTTTCAGTGGCATCAATGGCATATGCCTTGGCACCTTGGGCAAACACAGGGGTAACTCACGTAAAACAGGTTTAGAACATCTTTGTGCTCCTTGAATTCATCTTTTCTTTTATTTTCCTTTGGAAAATTTATACAGTTGTCAGGCTTGAACACACTTCTGTGAATGAGTGGTCCAGTCTTTCTTGCTTTCTCTGTCTCTCTCTCTCTTTTTTTCTCCCTTTCTTTTTCCTATTCTTCTTTTTTTCCTCTCTCTTTCTTTCTATGTTTATCAGTTTGCTTGCTCTGGTGGTACGGGGGAGTGAACTCAAGGACGTCTATCGCTGAGCTACATTCCTAGCTCTTTTCATTTATTGCATATTTTGACACAGGCTTTTGCCAAGTTGCCCAGCCTAGCTTTGTCCTTGCCTCCTTCCTGCCTCAGCCTCTCACACAGTGAGATAACAGGCTTGCATCCCTGCGCCCAGCTCATTTTTCACCAAGGTCTTAGCATAAAGTGGTGACTTGCATGCAGCCCTGGACTTTCCTAGGCCCTCTAGGGGTTGGTCCTGAGAGACCAGCAGCTTTGCAATTACCTTCTCAGCCTGGCACCATTGCCCAGGGCTGCCACCCAAACCAACTCCTTTCCTGGTTCTACAAACCTCTCCATGGCCTCCTCTGCTGGAGGCAGCAACACACCGGGGTGTGTCAACAGAAATTCTTTCTTGGGAGAGAAAATGGACTCAGATTATCTTGAAAAGGACACTTCCTAAACACAAGGTTACTTTTGCAGAGTCTGTGATGCAGATTCTCCTCATAACCAGGCCAGGTAGGAGGGGCTGAACCTGGAGATAAAAGAAACCAAAGGGAAAGGGACTCACAGTCCCTGATTACCACTAATTCTCCCATAGTGCACCGCATCTCTCGGCTTCACTCTGACCCATGTGCCAGCCTCCTTTCCTGCCTGGTTACCTGGAGTGCTGTGAAGGCTCCTCTCTGGGCCCAGCTGGCCTGAGCCCTGCTCACCCCTGCCGTCCCTGCTTTGAACTTTCCCATCTGGGCACCCACAAGCTGTTCATGGGATACGCTCCAAGCAGGCTCTGTAACTCGGAGTCTCTCACGGGCAACACCCGGCAGAGGAGAATCCAGTTCATGTGGCTTGGCAAGACCTTATCTCACTGGGTAGGAATTGCAGATAAAGCACCGCCAACAGCCGTGCCATGCCAGCCTAATGGGAAGGAACACCCTGTAGAGCTCTGATCCAGTGCTTGGAGCCGGAGCAGAGGGGCTCCTGGGTGTGATGTGTTGCCAAGGCACACATAGGCTTTGTGGATAAGGCTTCCTGCTCCTTAGATCCTGGCCTCGTCCCTTGCATGGGCAAGGCGGCTGCGAATTCCATGACAACACACAGCGGGCACTGCCAAGGATAACTCTGCAGGGTGAGAGCCTCGCCTGGCGCTGGTGATAACCTGACTTGATTTCCTGAAGTGTTGGAGGGGCAGGAGCATCTGCCCCATCTGGCATCCTTATCACATGACTGTGGGAAATGTACGCAATACCTCCATCCCTACCAACTCATTTGAAATGGAACAAATAAGAAACTACATGAATGGCATCCCTTCCAGGATTTATGCTGGCAAGTCTGCAACCCACATGAAATTCTCATGATCTGCTTTCTCTTAGGCTGGAGAAGTATGTTATCCCATCAGTAACATCACCCCAACCCCACCTGAGCAGAAGTCCATTCTCAGACCCCCAGGACTCAAGAGGGGTCCAAGAACCTATCTTTTCATGAAGCCTCCACATACCTCTGATGCATGCTACTATTTCACAACCGTTGACCCAGAGGATGGAGAGAGGCATGCTGGAGCCTGATTGCTATGGATAGGGGCTCATAGGGCTTTCCTTTTGTGGGAAGCCAAGGTTGGGGAGGACTTCATTTTCCACCTCCAGTGCCTCTCTGAGCCTCCTCTGCAGTCAGGAATGGCAGAGTTTCTAGGGATAGAGTGGGCTTGAGATCCTTCTCAGAAGACAGCAGCACACGAACCTAATGTGAACCTCTGTGTTCCGGTGATGGTCTCAGTGG